GTGTACCGGTCAGCTGACGGACCGGTACATACCGCCCGATACGAGCGATATTATTCGAAATTGTATACCTTGCTTTATATACTTAAATAAACATTTCAAAAATACATAACCTTGAAGACGTCTTCTTCATGAAGGTTATAAGCTAAATCTAGCATTACCTCTAAAATGTCATAATCTTGATTATGATGTGAAGCTACACAGCTACAATGCAAATGATGTTATATTAAGATGATGTGTTACTTATTAAAATATGAAGTCGATACTTACCAAGACTTTTGCAATTATTCATTAGTTTTTTGTGCTTGTGAAATTGAGGATGACCATTTCATGAGGCTCTCAACATGTTCAACAAAACCACCATCATATGGTATCAATATAACATGGATCCTAAAAATTCAATTAGCTACTATAATTTGTCATGGATTTGCCTTAATTGAGTTGTTTGTCATAAATTAGCCACTATAATTTGACATATTGCAGCTCCAATGTGTTTATATTGCTGACATTTGACATTTCTTTTATTTTTGGTCGCTATTGTACATACAAGAAAATCCACCATGGCATAAGCTACAAGGCTGATTTTGGTCGATTTTGAACCAGGGCTGCTAGTGATCCACAATGCATTCTAGGGGTTGCACATTCAATAGAACTATGTGCAATAGAAACGTTGAAGGATCGAGCGAATTTGCTTTGTGGGAGGCTTGATAAAGGCATTGAAAGAAGATAGAATACAGAAAGAAAACAATCTAGATTGCTTCTTGAAAATGTATAGTAACTATGAAAACTACTTCGTGAGCAACAAGCTAAAACTTCTCGAGCTAAAGCTCAGACTTCTTGAGGCTACAACTTGTTGTCGCCACCCTCTTTCTTTCCTCCTCTCGTTAGTATCAATGCCTCTCTCTAGGCTGCTACTGCCTCTATTTAATTGTTGTGTTCGAAGGGTTGTCACACCCTGCAATTTTTGGTTGTGGAGGGGAATAATCCTAACTCGGGTAGGACTCAATCGAAGTCCAACTCTCATTCTAATCCAAGTCCAACACAGATTGACTTGATTTGATCCTTTGGGCTGATCGAACTTGCACTTCGAGCTTGGGTTTGAGCCGACTAGATTTTGAGCTAAGTTAGAGTAGGATTTGAGCTGAGCTAGAGCTGTGTTGGAGGATCTTAACTGAGCTTATCATCCCTGATCAACAATTTGCTCAAGGTTATGAGTTGGGCTTTGATTAGAACGTCTCTCACATGGAATGTGGAAGAAAATTGCACCAACTTATAAAGCTAATTGGCTATTAACTTGAGGGAAATCATTTTAGCTAGTAGTTTAGGCTTATCAAGTTAATTGTTAGTTATCTCATCAAGCTATATGTGACTTGTTTTTAAAATTTTGATCTAGAGAACGCTTCAAGTATTGTTTCTCAAGCCATAAATATTATTGATGTGTCTTCATTGTCAAGCCATAAATATTAATGATGTGTCTTCATTGTTCTTACCATAGACTTCAAATCAAATCTAAGACCTCTTTGTTACCTCCAACCCCAAACTTATTACCCACCTGATGATCTTCAAGACCTTATCAATTTTATAGAAAAGAACAAACAAAATAGCTGATAGCAAGAGATGTGAAGCATCATAAAATCTCTATTGTTTCAATATGTTTTTGTTGACCATGTCATAGAACTAATGTCAATGGAAACCACTTTTACTTAAAATAAAAAAAAATAAATTAGTTAATCAAGATGAATGATAACCACACTAATATAGCAACCAAATTATAGCTTGAAGTACATAAACACATTACATATCCTAAGGCATAATAGACAGGTAGCAAAATGAGATAAGAGAATTTTCTGGAATCAAAGATGTGCATTATTCAGTTAGTGATTTCCCCTCATTTCAGTTGTGGAGACACAGTATCAACTAATGATCTATCCTCATTTCTTTAATTGCAAGGTATCAGAAATTGAAATATAGAAAAGAAAAAACCAAGGTTACTAACTGTCGATGGCAAGGTTCGCAATACCGTACCGTACCAGAGTTTCGACCTGGGCTCGGTACCGGTACGGTACGGTATACCGCTCGGTACACCCAGGTGTACTGAGCGGTATATTCAGACGTGCCGAGCACTGTAGCAGTACTGCTCTAGCTCAGCGCTGCTACAGTACTGCTACAGTGTCGGAACGGTAACATATGGTCCGCGTACCGAAAGTCTGGCGGACCGGTACGTACCGCCCGTACTGGGCGGTACGGACCGGTACTGCAAACCATGGTCGATGGCATGTCCTACGGGTTGCACATTCAATAGAAACTATGTGCAATAGAAACAAGGATCCGGTGATCATGATCCTTCTTTCAAGCAAATTTACTCTTCATGGGAAGCTCAATAAAGGCACTGAAAGACAATAGAACACAAAGAGAAAATGATCTAGATTGTTTCTTGAAAAGGTATACCTAAACATGTAACTATGAAAAGAATTTCATAAGCAACAAGCTCGGATTTCTTGCGGCTCAACTTGTTGCTGCCTCCATCTTTCTTTCCTCCTCCCTCTGGGGTCAACACCTCTCTCTGGGCTACTGTTGCCTCTATTTGATTGCTGTGTTTTACGGGTTGTCGCACCCACCAATTTTTGGATATGGAGGGGAAGACTCTTAACCAGGGTTGGACTCTTATTCGAAGTCCAACTCTCATTTCAATCTGAGTCCAACTCAGATTGAGCTAGTTTGATCCTTTAGGCTGCTTGAACTTCAGCTAAGTTGGAGTTGAACATGAGCTGAGTTTGTGAGTTTGGCAGTCCCTGATTAAGGATTTGGCTCTAGATTATGAGTTGGGCATTGATGAGAATGTGTCTCATATTGAATGTGGAGGAAAAGTCCACCAGTTTATAAAGCTAATTGGTTATTAACTTGAGCTTAATCATTTTAGCTAATAGTTTAGGCCTATCGAGTTAATCGTTAGTTATCTCATCAGGTGGAGTGTGACTAGTTTCTAAAAGTTCAATCTAGAGAATGCTTCATGTCTTGTTTCTCAAGCCATAAATATTATTGATGTGTCTTTGTTATTCTTACCATATACTTCAATGCAAATATAAGACCTATTTGTCACCTCCAACCTCAACCTTATTACGCACCTGGTGATGTTCAAGACCTTATCATTTTTATTGAAAAAAACAAACAAAATATCTGATAGCAAGAGATGTGCAGCTTCATAAAATCTCCATTGTTCAATATGTTTTTGTTGACCATGTTCTAGAACTCATATCAATGGAAACCACTTTTACTTAACATAAAAAGGAAAAAATAAAATAGTTAACCAAGATGAAGGATAGCCACATTATCCTAAGGCACTACATATCCACATATCGTAAGGCACAATTGACAGGTAGCAAAGATGAGATAAGAGAATTTTCCGGAATTGAAGATGTGAAATATTCAGTTGGCGATACTTCATTAAATATTCAATTGAGGGGAAACAGTATCAACTAATAATCTCCCCTCATTGAATTTCTTTAACTGCAAGGCATCGGACATCAAAATATAGAAAAGAAAAACCAACAAGAGCAACTAACTATGCAGTGCATCTCACAGTGAGAATCATATACTATATCAACTCAAAATATTCAGATGCTAAAACAGTGGGAAATTGCAATAAAGAGAGGCAGAGTCTAAAACCAAGAATTAGGAGAATGTAAAGAAAGTTGAACCTCTCAAACTCCAAGATTCTCTCTGATCAACAAGACAGCGTACCGCCTTACGCAAGAAGAAGGCATGACCACATCTATGGATCTATGAAGCAAGCAGATAACGAGAGAGAGGTACCTTTTTGCGGGGATTGGAGGGTATGGTGGTAGAGATCCTAAGGTCTTCGAGCTTGGGATTGTCACCAAACCGGGCGCGGAAGGCAGGGAGGCTGATGGCGAGGTCGTCGTCTGGAATCGGGAAGCCACGGTCCCGGAGCATCTCCAGCAGGGTACGCCGAGCCAGAAAGTATCGGTGACTCTCAACAGTTCCAGAGTCAACGAACGAGATCAGGCACTCTGGCATCACATCCGTTTCCATCTCTTCCATCTTCGTCTTTTCTTTCCTTCTTTCGTCTGTCCTGCCCTCGCCCTCGGGGTGGATGATAGTGGGATTAACAGAGGCCACAGACAAGCGCAAAAAGGGGCAAGCGAGCAAGGGAAAGCTCAGAATGTCATCTCCGCCTGTGTGTTCCCCTTCCCTTCCTAATCCCCCTAAGGTCGTCCGTTTCCGACCTCCGGATCCACGTCCGAGTTCCTCCTCCGATCCTACTGACGCTGGGAAGGCGGCTTGTTCTGAGATCACCGGCAGCAAGGTTGTGGCTGCGATGGTGGCATCGACGCAGAATGCTGCGGCTCCATCTCCGGGAGGATCTGTGTTGGACAGAGCTAAATGCTCATCAGCCCCCCATCTCTTGCGCGAAGGTACTGCAGAACAGACCTAACCCTTCGTATCCCACCTTCGACTGTTACTTTGTCCTTCATCTATTGGCCGTTGGATGCAAGTAAATGATCTTCGAGATAAGTTCTCACCGGTGGATGAGTATCCCTCGGTTGGGAAAAAAGGGTAATCCTGGTATTTTGTAACGATGCTAACAATGTGGATTTCTGTTCAAAATAGAGGGGATTTTTTTCGTCGTTAGCCGATCAAACGAAGGAGATTTTTGAGGAATATGCCTACGCCCCCTTCTTCGCTTGTTCCAGAGCCGATCGACGAGTTGCAAATGGCGCTGCTCCATAGGGAACCTGCGGAAGACATGGCTCAGTGTTTCAAGGAGTCCAAGATTGAAGATGGTCTCCAAGTAGAAGAGTGCGCGGCTGAAGAAGTCCAAAACTCCCCCGGCTAGGGCTCTACTACCTTGGGTAGACTAGTTGGAACTAATGTAGGATCGATCGCATATCTATCAGGGATAGACTGATACTGTTTGCAGTCATCTATGTATATATGCATACATATATATATATACATATATATACGTATATATATATATATATATATATATACATATATATATATATAT